ATAGAAACATAGAATCTCTCATTGTGTTTTCCTGAACAGGTATTTTAAGTCCCCTAAGGGTGATGTCCATGTGGGAGAGGTACTTTCTGGCAAATCTCTTGGGCACCTCTTCACTCTAGTGTGGTGGACCTGGGGTTTTATTCCAGTGAGCTTCAGAGATGATTGAGTTGTCAGAAGCATGTCAAAAGGTCCTGTCATTTCTTTCCTGGTTGTTGCTCTGGTCCCTGTTCTTTCCAAATCTTGACTAGCACCTGGTCCCAAGACTGGAAGCAATGGAGGGGTGATACCAAATTTGGAGGGGACCTGGAAGAAGCATACTCATGCACAGTGGGGTCAGACCAATCTTTCAGGCAGGAGAATTAGTCCATGGGAATTTTGTCTCCACCTGGCAGTATTATCCCAGGAGTCAAGCTGAGGTATCAAAGCCCCAATTAATGCTTTTTCCTTGGAGCCCTTCTGGATGCCCTATCAGCAGCTTGATTTCCCCTGGCCACATAAGTATCTTATGATGACAGTGGATGATTTCCACTGCTTTGGTTCTGCCACCACTTGTATCTGCCAGTATCTCAAGGTCATATTTAGTGTCCTGTTTTTAGCAGTGAGGAAACTTCTTTCTTTTCAGATATCTCCAAGTGCTTGTACTACCATAAAATCATTTTATGAGTCAGTGTAAATATTTACCTTTTTTCTTTTTGACAATCTGAGAGTTCTTGTTTGGGCAATTATCTCAGCCTTTTGAGCTGATGTTCCCAGTGGTAACACCTAGGCTTCCAATATCTGTTGTTCCATGGCTACAGCACATCCTGCTACTCGCTGGACATTTTCCATGAAGCTCCTTCCATCTGTGAAGAGCTCCCAGTCTGGTTCTCTGATGGGCTGGTTAGACAAGTCCAACCTGCTAGAGTAGACAGTTTCCAAAATCTCCAAGCAGTTATGTAGTATTGTCTGATTATCATCTAATGACAAAAATGTTGCTAGATTTAAAGTGGACAGGACTTTAAGACTGATATTGGGGTTGTCTAATAGGATGGCTTGGTATTTCCCCATTCTCCCAGCAGTTAGCCAGGATTCTCCCTTCTGTTCTAGTAGGACCAAAACTTGGTGAGGGATGAACACAGAGATGGTTTGCCCTAGAGTGAACTTTTCAGCCTCCTGTAGCAAATCATAAGTGGCTGCTACTGCCCGCAGGCAAGGGAGTCATCCTTTTGCTGTGCAGTATAGCTGGGTTGTTTTAGCTGTAGTTGGACACAAGACCTTTATTTCATTTTATTTTTATGTGGTGCTGAGGATCAAACCCATGCCCTTGCACAAGCTAGGTAAATGCTTTACTGCTGAGCCACTACCCCAGATCCAGCTGTTTTGTGCAGGGATTCTGCAGGTGGATATATACAGGGAAGCATTCCTCTGATGAGCAAACTGCTGAGGAGTAACTGACACTCTGTTTCCCACCCTTAGAATGCCCTGCAGTTTCTCCTAGGAACTAGTAAGATAACAAATACGCTATGTCTAGTTGCTGTACCTTGATCTCAGGCACACAGCTTCTGGAAATAAAGAAACTCTTGTTAGAAAACCACAAGGTTTCAATAAGTCTAACCCTGCCAACATAACAGTAATTCTATTTAATCGACTTTCTTGAGAGCTACACAAAGCTCCTAACATTGCACATTGCAACGTAGTATGTAACTGAGAAATAAGCTCCATAATGTTGCTAAGTCTGTAACCTACCTAGTAATACAATGAACAATATGTATTAATGATGCCAATGACCTAAAGTAACAGGGCTTCACAGGAACTCAATATTGTTTATTAATTAGTCTGGTTGGTGATATACAGACAGCTTATATATACTGACTTGTTTTAGATATATTTGGTGTCGATTTGTGGTAAGAATAATGAATGAGAAAGATGAAAGCCCATTATTTTATTATTGTTAACATCCTCCATTTAAAATAAGATATTTAGACTAGGTGACAGCTAGAGTATGTCCTAGCCCTCAAATTCTAATTTTCTAATTTTATCATGATCTTCCCCTATTTTCCTACCTACAGTCTTTTATCATGTCTGACCTGTTAGTGCAAAAAGACCAAGAAGATCACAAACTTCACAAATCAGCTCAGTGCTTTATTCACTAACGAAGTTTCACACAGGCACAGGGGATGCACCGACAAAATGATGCCATGGTGGGACCCACTTTCCTGGTGGAAAATGAGCGACTGAACAAAGAAAGAGCTTGGGCTTACATAGGTTATTCTGAGAGGTGGTCTAGTGAGCATATCAATTTTATTTGGGCACCCGAGAATTTGGAGTTTGTTTTATCAATCACTGAATGGGTCAGTTTTAGTGCTTAGGAATTTGGGGTTTGTTTTACAGGGCGAAATGGGAAGGAGTCTACGGTTGGTGTTCAGTTCTGAGGATTTATCTTAATGGACCTGATGGAGGGCCTGGGGTTAGTCATTGGTGCTGTAAGGTCAGGCACCAGTGAACAAATGGAGGCACCAGTGATCAAATGCTGGAAAAGACTTTATTGAGATTCACTCCCAGGCAAGACCCTCCAGTCCAACAGAGCAGGTTCAGGGAATTCGCTCCCAGGCTCACCCAGATTGGAATTTTATCGGGTTTAGGGCAGGAAGGTAGGGCCTGAGACAGGAAAGGGAGGTTTTTAGAGTCCCTTGTCCTCCTATGGTTGGTCAGGGGATCTTGCTAAGATCCCTGACATTCCAGGATTGGTCAGGAGACCCCGCTGATGGACAGGTAGGTGGTTGAGGCACCATCACTGCTGGTCTGTCAGAGCCTGATTGGTGGTTCTTTTGCTCTGTGGATTGCCTGATGCTTTGACCCTTATTCACCTCAAACTGACTTAACAGGTGTCTGGACAGGGTTTGTTTATAGAAGAATTAATGCTTCAGCCTCTTCCCAGTGACTGCCTTTCCAGGTTTGATGGACACCTCTTTTCCAACCCCAGGGTTTGTTTTATGACCAGGAAAGAATGTACTGGGAAAGGATCAATGTTCCCAATGTATGGCTTTACTTCTCACTCCCCTTTTCCCAGTTATCACTACTTTTGGGGTGTATCATTTTCCATATCTAATATGACCTACACTCACACAAGGGATGCATGATCACATCATTATGGTGGTGACTTCATGTGACCTACAGTAGACGAAGACACCAGCCCTGGCCCCCAAACCTGCACATTCTGCCCTTGTTGCTGGAGCTAATGGCTGACCCTGCCATTCCTCTTTTTGTAGATGTCATACGAAGCATCAAGTGTTTATTTTAATACTGTATGTTGTTTACTGCTGTTGTTTTCCTTTTTTCTGAAAAAGCCTGGAAAGTGACTGAGACACTACAAATTCAGTGTAGATACTTTGTTGCCAATCTATACCCACAGTTTAGTCAAGAGACAGCACACTTCCACCACAAACCAACGCCATTCAAGCTTCAACAATACTTTAACACAGAAAATAGGGAAGACTAAAAACAAACAAACAAAAAACACCAACAACCAGGCACAAAGTAGGAAGAGCTGGGGAGGACCTCAGGTCTCCTCTTAAGCATCTGCTCCTACAACAAAAACAGGGATTTCAAGACACAGGCTCAGAGGAGCCCACAGCATTGTAGCAGCTCTCCAAGAGTGAATTAAATTAGCAGTTCTGCAGTAGCAAATTGAGACTTTGGTTATGTTGTTCCCAGGTGTTGAAACTAAGATATAGCAACAGTGCAGAACTTATTGCAAAAGAGATAACCAATACCAAAAGACACCGTCATAAAAGAGGAAGAGAAAACCATCTTAACAGATGCACAAACCCAAGAACTCTGGAAACATGCAAATAAGTCTCCCTATAAAATTTACAATTCTTCAGCAAAGAATTCAACAGATATGAAAAGGTATGAAATTCCAGGGAAACATTACCAAAAATAGATTATCAAAATGATTAATAAATTAAAAGAAAATCTGATGAATGAATTAAGAGAAACACTGCATCTGCCAGAAGAAAGCATAAAGAAAACGCTCCATCACATTGGCATAAACATCTACTTTCTTAAAAAACTCCTAAAGCTCAAGAAGTAAACCAAATATCAATAAGCGGGATAGAATTAAATTAAAAAGCTTCTGCACAGTAAATGAAACAATTAAGAGCATGAAGATAGAACCTAAAAACAGGAAAATCTTTGCCAGCTAGTTCTCCAACAGGGTTTTAAAATTCAGAATAAATAAAGAACTCAAAAACTTAACACCAAAAAATTTTAGTAACCAAATTAATAAATAGACTTTTCTCAAAAGAAGAAATAAAAATGACTGACAACATCCCTAGCAATCAGGGAAATACAAATCAAAACAACACAGATTTCATCTAACTCCAGTTAGAATGGTAACCATCAAGAATACAAAGAACATTAATTGCTCACAAGGGTGTGGGGGGAATGGTACACTTATATACTGTTAATAAAAATGCAAATTAGTACAACCATTTAGAAATCATTATGGACATTCCCCCAAAGTTTATGAATGGAACCACCACATGAGCCACCTCTCTCACTCCTTGGTATTTATCCAGAAGATCTTAAAGCAATACACTATAGTAATTTATGCATACCAATGTTTATAGCAACACAATTCACAATAGCTAAGTTATAAATCAACTTAGGTGCCTGTCAATGGATGATTGGATAAAGAAACTGTGGTATATATACACAATGAAGTTTTACTCAGCCATAAGAAGAATGAAATTCTGTCTTTTGTGGATAAATGGACCTGGAGAACATTATGCTAAGTGAAATAAACCAGATTCAGAAAAACAAGAGTCAAAGTTTTCTCTCAAATGTGAAGCTAGAGAGAAAGGGGGGAAACAGAATTTAAAAGGGGATTCTCATGAAAACAGAAAGAATACCAAAGGAATAGATGAAGGGGATAAGAGGTGAGGTCAGGGGAAATACTAGGGAATAAAATCTAACAAATTATGCTGTCTATGGATGACTATACCACAATGAATCTGACACATTGACCACAAGGAATAGTGAATAAATAATGCACTAATTAAAATAATAATAATAGAAAGCAGATCAGTAGAGTTGAACTAGTGGATTAGGGGAAGGAGAAGGAGAAGGAAAGGGGAGGTACTGGGAAAAGAGTTTGATCAAATTACGTTATATGCATACCTGAATATGACATAATGAATCCCACTATGGTGTATAATTATAACTCACCAACAAAAATATCTCACTGGGTAAAAAAGCATATCCTTCATCCCCACTCTCTGGCATTCTTCAGGGTGTTGCTTGTTTTAGAAATATTAGATTCTGAACCTCAGAGCTACTTGAGAATCACATATTTAAGTCCATTGTTTTCATATGAGGAAATTGAGACCTGCAAACCTCACAAGTTTTTGACAGTCATGCAGTCAGCATCATAGTTCTGAGACTGATGAAGGATCCCCTGTTCCTGGGTAATCCAGAATCATTCCCCCACACTTTGTCACTTTAAAGTGAGCTCCCTTCCCTTTTATTTTGCACGAGCTGTGGCAAGTCTTTGGGGGCAGCACAGTCCCCAAAGACATCAGCTCTGTGACTGGAAGAAGTTACAAGTTTATGTACAGGAAGCTGTTGCCAGGATGCTGCTGTGAGCCAGGGCACAGTGGTAGGTGGCTGAGTCTGCAGGCTGGGAGGCTGTGATATGCAAGGCACTCTGTTTGGTGGTGGTATCAAAGGTGACTCTCAGTCTTCCTTTCTGTTTTTCACTCTCATTTTCACACACTAGTATCAAGAAGAAGAGGCCTTCCCCTGGATCTTGTCGGTACCATTGGATGGACTCTGGAGAATAATTTGTATAGTGACAAGTCAGAGAAGCATTTTCACCCTCCTGGATGCTGCAGACCTGAAGATTCTGTTCCACCTTTTGGCCATCAGCCTCTGGAGGGAGCACAATGCCAGAAAGGAGGGTTAGTCACCACATTTAACAACCCTAGGAGTCAGCTTTCTTCCCACCACCCCAGATGCAACCAAAGAGGAAGTACAACAAATCCTGGCCCTTCCCCTCTGTTCTGTGTGCTATGTCCCTGGATCTCTCTGTCCCTCTCATCAGGAAACCACCAACTCACTGTCCATGTGAAGCCACAGCATCACCTGAATCACCAGAACACCTCCCAGGAATGGCTTCATGCTGCTCCCAGCTGTGGACTGGTTTGTGGACTCAGCCTCAGTCAGAAGCCATGGTCTTCAGCAGTGGGTGCTACTGAGGTTCTTCTATCCCTAGGAGGAAGCTTCTGCCTTCCTACCAGCCAATCAGCCTGTTCAGCCCTTTGTTTACACTCACTGGCCAAATCCAACGTCAGGGGGAGCTTTGTTTCAAACATGAGAAAGGCTGGCTGAATTGACATTCCCACCAACAGTGTGTAAGAGTCCTTTATCTCCACTTCTTCACTAACATTTGTTATTTATCATCTTTTTGATAACAATCTTTCTAAATGGGCTGATGTGATATCACAACAGCATTTTGACTTGTACTTAACTGACAGTGAATGAAGTTGACTATGTTTCATAAATTTGTTAGCGTACTGAGAAGTGTTTACTCATATTCATATCCTTGGGCCATTTTGAATTGAATTATTCAGTTTCTTGTTAAGTTCCTTATACACTCCTTTATCAAATGAATAATTAGCAAACATTTTTCTCCATTCTGTAGCTTGTCTTTTCACATTGTGGATGTTTCCCTTGCTGTGTAGAAAACTAGCATAGCCACTATGGAGAACAATGTGGAAGTTTCTGCAAAAACTAAAATAGATCTACGGTACGATCCAGCTATTCCATTTCTGGGTAGATATAAAAAAAAATAAATGATATCAGGCAATTAAAGAAACACCAACATGCCGCAGCATTCACAATAGTGAAGAAACAGAATCAACCTAGATGCCATGAATGGATACATGGATAAAGCAAATAGTATGTATACACAATGGAATGTTATTCAGCTATGAAAAGCAAAGATATCCCATCATTTGCAAAATGGATGAAACTGAAGACATTATGTTTAGTGGGGAAAAAGATAAATACCAAATGCTCTCTTCTATATGTAGATGCTTTAAAAAGTCCGTTGGAAAATATAATAGTGACTACTAGAGACTAGGAAGAGTGAGGAAATAGAGGGAGGTTAGATAAGGTTGAGGTAGTAGTCACAATGGGTTGAGTTTAGTTCATCATATCCCATCATATATTTTCTGAATAATTAGAATAGAGTAACTCAAAAGTTCCAAATAAAAAAGTAGTGATTGGAGATGTAAATATTATTAACTCTGATTTGATTAGTGTATGTACATATGAATTGAAATATCACACTTTTCCCCATATGTACAATTATTACTTGTTAATCAAAACTGTTTTAAATGTTTAAACTGATGGAAATGTTAACTAACCTGATCTGATCATAGCACAATGTACACATGTATCCAACTAAAACACTTCACCTGTACAATTTTTAAAAATTGAGAAAGGCTCTGGGGTATTAGGAAACTCTGTCCTCTTGTGTTCAGAGGGTTGTTAGGCTAATGGAATGGGCTCTAGAGCAAAGCTTCTCAAAGGATGAGCATTGGAATCACCTGGAGATTTTGTTTGTTAAGAGGAAGATATTCCATTTGGTCTGGTATGGTCTGGACAGTTGACATTTTAGCAAGTTTTTTGGAGATGCTGGTGATGCTAGTTCTCAGAGCACAACTCTAAGTAGCAAGCCTGCTGAGTCTCAGTGCTTGAAATGGAATTTGCAGTATTAAGGTTGGACTTGGGACAAATGACCAGGTTTCCCAGAGCCTCCATTTCTTGCCCAGTTGAACTGTTCTGATCCAACCACACAGGAGAGGTTGTCATGTATTCTGAGTAATGTAAAGCACAGGGGAACCCATGGTCATATCTGGGTAGTGAACCCCCTCTTGCCACCACTCCTGGACTCCCATAGGAAGTTCATTGACTTCATAGGACTTTTTCTTGATATTACTGGACTAGTATAAGTAGAGAGTCAGTTTAAATCCACCAAGAATTCAATCAGTAAGGATTTTTTTCAGTTTATGCAAAATTCCCTATGAAGAAGTACTTCAAATTGTTTTTTTTAATATACCAGTTTTCTGGTGGTTTATGTCAGAATTTCTTTCTTTTCTACTTTGCTATTGCCAGGGTGGATGTACTGTAGTCATTTCATCAAATATATTTAAGCCATTTTGTGGAGACATGGCTGAAGAGATGGATAGATGGAAGGAGAGTGGGCTGGAGTGTAGTGGGAAATCAGGAAGGATGGAGACTTTGGATCCAGAAAACAGAAGTTTTTGAATGCTGAATGAGTTTGTATGTTTAGCAAAGAATTGCTGAGGCTTTTGAGTAAGTGGGTATTGTTATAAAAGTGGAATTCTCTACACTTAGTACTCCTCCATAAGAATAATTGGAAGAGAAAAAGATTGATGAGCACTGTGGAAGAATTAGTTAAGAGATTGTGTTCCAGGGCCAGGATTGTGGTTCAGTGGTAGAGTGCTTGTCTAGCATACATGAGGCACTGGGTTTGATCCCTGGCACCACATAAAGATAAAAACAAATAAAATAAAGGTATTGTGTCCATCTACAACAATATATATATTTGTGTGTATATATATTTGTATGTATATATATAGTTGTATGTATATATATATATGCACACATACATATACATATATGTATATATACATATACATATACATATACATATATATATGAGATTGTTTTCCAGCCTCAAACAGATCTGACTTTGAAACCCAGCTATTTCATTTACTCTCTCTGAGTGGGCTTGGAAAAGCTACTTAATTGTCTACAAGTATAATGTCCTTTCTGTAAAGTGGGTGCCAACAGAATACTATGAAATGGGCTAGATGGGATAATGCACATAAAACACTTTGAGAGTACATCATATACAGTAAGAACACAATAAATGTTAGAAATTTACATAAAAATAAGACTTAAGCAAAGGCTGCAAAACCAGTCAGAAGGCACTGCTGTCTTCTATTTGAAGTTTATGTGACAAGAGCAGCATCACCAAACTTCAGGACAAAGAGGAATTTTAGAGAATTTATAGGAAAAAAATGGATCAGAAAAAACTTTTAATTAAATACGATTATATGTTGGAAAATGTGTAAAATCACTAAGTATCCTATCAATCAAAAATCTGTGCTATCAAGATCTTAAAAGGGGACTGGTGTTGTAGCTTAGTGGCAGAGAACTTGCCTAGCATGTGTGAAGTACTGAGTTCAAGTCTTAGCACCGTTTATAAATGAATGAATAAAATAAAGGTCAATTGACAACTAAAAATATATATTAATTTTTTTAAAAAAAATCTTGGAAGGTCACATTCCAACTGTGGTACTTTTCATATTTCTACCAAGCAGCAATCACACATGTGATATGACTATTTTTCATTTCCACTTCTCAATAATCACTATACTTGTGTTTTGTAAACAACATTGATTTGCTACATAATATTCCATTTGGGTCATTAGGTCTTTCCTTGTAAGATTAGACACTAGGGTTTTCAGTTTGGGGGTAAC